CAATGCTAGCGACTGGTATTTTTAACATTGGGATGTCCTACGAGATGTCAATTGTCCGGCTATGCATCAGAGCAGAGCACTGGCGTGGTATTACTGAGGGCCGCGGTTCAATCCCTGGCGCAGGGAGCAGTCTTTTTTTATTTTTTTTAATAAACTTTTTTATTAAGGGTTTTAATTGTGTTTTTAAATTAAAAAAAAAAATATTTTTATTAACTTCTTATTTTATGGCACAAGTATTTATTTCCATATGCATGTTTTTTCTGCAATGAAATTAGATTTTAAAACGTATTATTTATATTTAAAATGAAATAATTATATTGACTTACATTGAATTAATTATAAAAATCTTAAACACCATTAATTTTAAAAAACTTAACCACCTCCAAGAATCAGAACATTTGTAAGAAAAGCAAATAATTGCGTTTTATGTTTGGTTTTGGCAATTCAAAGGCAGATGTCGCTGAACGCTTAAGTTCTTCGAAATTGTCGAACTGATACACCATCGCTTTAGCACATTCTAGTTAATGAACTGGTATTTTTACTGCCTGGTTTGGCTTTTCACTGCAGGGTTGCTAACCCGTAACATGATCGAAAACGTAGGCCAGATAAATTAACCGAGACATTTGCGGTGCGCATTACAACTTTTGTCAAGCAAATATGATACGAGCTGGTTGGCCTTGTGTACAAAGTTCGTAGCAAGAGAAGCGTGCAAAAGTACAAAATAAAAATTTAGTAGGAAAGGAAGTGGTGATATGCTATGTATTTAAGTGAATTTTGGCCATGGCATGACTGCATTATATCATTAGTTGTTTAGGTAAACAGGAGGTGTGAATAATGAAAGTACGCATTAATTTTTCGAAAATAGAGCTAAGCGAAAAAGAGTGTTAAGTTTTTTTGTTATGTCGGAGACTACTGACTTTTCGCTAGCACTTTTTGCAAGGGATTGCTTTCCGACGCACTTCTACGCTATCTCAAAAATTCTTCCAGCCACCGAGCTGAGAGCGCAATTAAATTTCTTCAAAGCTTCTTTGCAGGCATGCGAAAAACTATTTCGACTTGCAGTAATAAAAACTTTCTGCTTTCCTTCCTAAGGGATACGATTTCTTTTGACCACCTGAATGGCTTCCTCTTTCCTTAAGGTAGTACGAGTAGACATAGTTAGAAAGGAGGCGGAGAAGGCCGCATTACAAACCATAGTAATACAATCAACGGCTTCCTCTATTACTTCCAATCGGATTAACTCATCGTGCCTTCTCTCCATAGTATTTGCTTTAAGCACCAAAAATTCTTAAACTGGATTACATTGACTCCAAACGGCTCACAGTGGTCGGGTAAGGCATGTTTTACGCGAAAAAGGCCTATTTTTAAACTGTGATAAATTAACTGGAGTAAAGCCATTCTTATTCAGAAAAATCCAGCGAACTCAAAGCTGGTTATTAATTTTAATAATGTGTGCTGAGCACGCCGTTGAATCCATTTAATTCAACGAATTCGATCGTGGCTTGTTCTAATAGTTAAATTAAAACAGTGATTGCTGGTTTAGTGTACTTCTTAAAGATGGCGTCCGAGATTTAAATAAATTGTTGATTTTTTTTGAAATTTGCTATTTAGAGGTTCGCATTCATGGCAACTCCGAAGGCTGTCATCGGAAGTTATCGTTACCGAATATTACGCCCTTCCTTACTGAACACATCTGTTATCCTTCTGTATCCAATGTGGCGCCCAAGAATTTAAAAAGTTACTAAATTTTCATGACATTTGGTATTGCCTTTGGTATGCCTTTGCCAGTAGGGCATTTTTCTGAGGAAGCCCAGGAGGCTCACAACAAAGACTTCAGATGGTATCGCGAGTATAACACTCGAAAAATTACCAGGAAGGAATCTAACGAAGATTTTGGATGATGCACTCAAAAAGCTTTGCCGTGGCGGTAAGCTTTGAAATAGGTCTGTAGTTGCTAATTTCGTTTTTATTACCACTCTTAAAAATAGGTGAGATGAAAGCCAATTTCCAGGCATCAATAAAAGTACCAGAAGATAGGGATTTGTTGAAGATTAACACCAATGGTTTAACTAAGGAATTACACCGCTTGTACAAAACCGCAAGCAAACCATCAGCATCAGTGTGTGAGGAGGGTTTAAGTCGAGCAATGCCGCTGAAAACATCTTCGGTGGACAACACTAGCTTGCCGAAGTCGACAGATGGTTGTATATCGAAGAAAACATTTTCTTCACTGTCAGTTAGAGATGCAAAATTCGACATAAAAAGCTCGGCAAAGAGATTAGATGCCGGATTATTAACTGCTTTGTCGCCGAAGAAAAGAGAAGACGGTATATTAGAAGTAGACTTCTTCGCATTAACAAAGTTCCAAAACGCTTTCGGATTGCATTTTAAACTTTCTTCAAAACTTAAAACATAGTTTTTGTGCAAAAATTTATCCAA